CGGCAGCGCAGTGGCGCCCGCTGCCGAGGGTGATTCATGGGCTAGTGTGTGAGACGTTCGTGGTTATCGTGGTGTGTCGCTGTTGAAGCCCAACCTCACTACGACGACAGGCGCAACTTGACCGCTAGCGGACGCGCCCACTTTATGGCAACACTGTTGATTCATCACGGGCATTGCAAAGTGCATAAGAAGTACGAGGGTATGGTGGCGGAGTCCCTTTTGTTAAGCTACGACGGGGACCCGAGCGACAGACTTTAGCAGCGGGCGTTGGGTCTGGAGTTGAGGTTGTACGTGATCCAGCCGCCCTTGAGGCCGCGCTGGTAGTCCCAATCTGCGGCGCTTTCGGTCTTCCAGGTCCAAAATACCCAGCCCGAGGCGCGCTCGTACACGGAGATCTGTGTCTCGAACAGACGTTGCAGCGAGGCCTTGTAGGCAGCGGAAAAGTTGGAGCCGTCGCCGGTCTTGTCGGCGCAGCTGCCGACGTAGTAGCTGCCCTGGCCGAAGCTGCCGTCGTAGCGGGCGCCGACGCCGCGACCGTTGAGGTACTTGGCACAGTCGGTGGGGGCGGCGGTCCATTCGCCCACAATGGTCCAGAGGTTGCCGTTGGACGAGGCGAGGCCGTTGGCTTGGCCGCAATAGTTGTTGAGGCGTGCATCCTCGGACATGGCCACCTGGTCGGGCGAAAAGACCGAGTAGATGTGCGTATCGAGCAGCACCTGCTGGTACTGCGGAGGCTGCGCCACCCCCCTCCAGTAGTCAAGACCCATGAAGGCGTCGTGGATCATGATGGCAGCGTTGCCAAACTTGGCCCGCGCGGCATAGTAGCCGGAATTGTAGTAGTTCTTTGTGAAGTCCAGGATGTTGCCGCCGACGAAGCCGGCGGGCTCGTTGAGCAGCTCGATCGAGGTGACCGTGCCGTCGTACTTTGCAAAGCGCGCAGCGATGGTCGAGATGACTTTGATGGCGCGGTCGGCGTTGCTCTGCGAGTTGGGCCACTGAACGGCGCCCTTGCGTCCCGAGTTGTCAAAGCCGTTCTGCGAGCCGGG